ACCACACCAAATCACAACACAACACACTACCCCAAACCATACGCGATTGAAATGCGCTTAGCGCGGTCATTTGTGTTGTTATCCAAATGTGGTACTGTACGCAGATTGATTAATGTACCATTTGTTCGTAATATGGAATTCGACGCCAAAAATGCGGTTTCTTCGTTACAGTGCTTTGATTCATATGTCAGATGTCTTGATAATACATTTTTGGAAAATTCTCGACTCAGTGCTGTCTCCGACCTTTTGGAGGATCCATCCACTGATCAGCATTTAAAGCAAATTTTCTGGTCAAAATTCGTGTCTGCAGCTTTGACCTTTGATAAAAATAATCTCGTAGATTCTCTCATTTTATACATACTCGAAAAACCTCATTCTCATTCTACCGTTACCCTAATTTCAGTTTTGAAAGCCCTTGGCTCGAAACGCCGTTTCGACGAATTTAGGTCTTTATACGAACTGATTAAGTCACGTTTGTCCCCGTCGGACATTGTTGTCTATGCCGCGGATATGTCTCTCGCCCTTGCCCTTACGCCTTTTTATAAGGATGCGCGTGTTCTGCTTGACATGACTTTTGAGAGAAATCTCCCAATTAAACAGTTTAGCTGTCTATTAACTGCAGCAGCTACATACGGTCCTTTGCACGAGGCCATTTCTCTCGTTGATGAATTGCACCCCATGATGTTGAAACCAATCGACTCTTTTTATTCTGTTTTCATCGAACGCCTATACGGAGTTGAAGAAGGAAAGGAGTTGATGAATCAGTTATTAAAAGTTATTCAAAAATGTCAATATCCCATATCGAAGTCAACCGCTCTTCTCATAAAAGAGTGGTTCGAGAGGTATCATGCTTAGTTTCTCCTAAACTTTGTAGCTATGGATGGCGAGGCACACTGGGTGTCACTTTCTCAGGGTTTGCAATTTTTTAAGTATATTTTGTAGATTGTCATGTGCCTCGTGCTTAAAACCTGTCAGGAAACTTAGTTTTAGTTCTCAAGATTGTTGTCGGCTGGCTGAACTATTCTATGAACACGCTCTTAAGGTATTTCTCGGTTATCTTAAACAGCACTTTTGTAGGGAAAAACTGAAGATGAACTCTTTCTTACAACTACAAATAAAGAACTTGAATCGTTCCACTCTTTCATCAATAGTCGGAGTCGTTCATTTGATTGTGTCGTAGACTTGCCAAACTTCCTTCACACGGTTTCGAATAGGAAGCTAAACACTATTTCAATTGAAGAGCAGACCGATATGTTGAGCGATGTACGCGGAAACACGATATTTTGCTCATCTATGGTTGCTTGCCTTGTAGTTGATTCATTCTCTTCATCGAACTTATCTTGTCAACCGCGTTTGTCTAGTTGGGAAACAACGTGGGGTGGTTGGGAAAAAGCACTTCTGGGATTCTATCAAGGCTCTGGGAAACAAAACTGGTGTCAGTGTCCATACCTTTCTAACTGAACCCAAGTATGTGTGATTTGATGCTTCAAGCACTAAATTCCCTTTTTTACATGTGCCAGTTTTTCACATGGCGGTGGTTTTTTTGTGGTATTAAATGCTTTCGTAATATTGCCACCACGGCTGGACGTAGATATTGTCTGGTTTACCCCTTCTCAACGCACCTCCTCTGTTGTCTGTGGTGATTAGATGTCTAGGTTCGTGTGGTATATTGACTGGGCAGCTTTGCGACGTCACTGATTATCTACCGTCTACTTGTAGTACCTGAACTGTTAAGCGGGATTTTTTTATAAATGTACCTCGTTCTGATTCTAGGAGCAATGACGATGTTTTCATGATATACCTGGCTCTCTGGTCGGGCCCACATTGTTACCTTCTTTCAAATGACGAGTTTCGTCAGCACAGGTTCACCGTGGGTCCTGAACTCGGCAAGTTGCTCTCGCAGTGGCAGGCATCCCGGCACATCCGCTTACGAAACAACCACCCAACGTCTTTCCTTGTGAGTCAATAGTTTATAGTATTATTACAGACTAGGACTATTAATTTCGATTTTTCAGCTGTCAAGTACTCAAGGTAATGGTTAATAACACCTCACTAAAATCCTTGGGATCTGATTTTGCGTAAACTCATATGTCCAGTTAATGTCTGCTGGCGGGGCTCTTTTCGGGCATGTTATTGAATAACGTTTTCTACAATTCGTTAATGTCTCGACTCAAGGCTGCATTAAACCCTTTAGGGTATCTGAGATTTTGAGGTGCTGTATTATTGACAGTACCACTTATGATTCCGTTGTTGGCTGTAGGTCAGTGAGTTTTGCCTACGTCGTTTTATCATAATCCTTTACCCGTCTCTGTATTGCTTGGGCCAATGTTCAGGCTGAAATGCTTAAATCCTAAACTCCTCAGCCTCTTCTGCGATAAGCACGTCTTGACAACTGGAATTAATGGAGTGATCCAGGGTACTTTTGTATAATGGATTCTATGTGTCATGAGGTGGGAATGCAACCAAAATACCACAATAAAGACTTGGATCCCAATGATGTTAAATCTTTCTAAACGAAAACTGCAAGTCCACATTGCAGTAACGTTAGGCCCAAATACGCCAACCGTTGACTGCGGAACATAATGGCTGGAGAGAGGGCTGTAGGTAGCGTGGGCCTCAACCGTTTATTGCGGCGATGTGAGCCTTGTCCTTTCGTGCACAAGTGGTAAAAACTGACACTCATTTCACCGAACAAAGGTTACTACGTGGATGTTAACGGAGATCATGTAATCGAACTCAGAAACGTTGGGTCATATCGAGTCAAATCGTTAACATGGTTCGACTATTCTAAATCATAAGCGCAAATTCGAAATTTTGACTGCTGCTGCCCCTCACCCTTTTAGTCTGTCAATTCACGTGCATTGCTCCGCCAACGCGTGTTCTGGTTTGCAATCAGCCTGTGTCCTTTACCAACCTACTCACAGCTCCGTGACTGGTCGATCGCACACCTCATATCCTCCCTGTTATCCGACCCCCATCAGGGCCACCATCGAAATCGCTCCCCCACTTCACACGTTTTGATTTTTTAAGCAAGAGCAATCTTGTTCACGCAATTAACTTGTTGAATGTTCTAGTAAAGGGCTCTTTCTCGTCTCCGGTCTATTTTCACCATTGGGTGCTTTGCGTTTTGCCGCAACGGCACTTTGTTCATTACACGGACTTCTCCAACACCTTTTTTTAACTGTACCACATTTGTTTTTTAAACGCTGTATTATTTGCATTGAATTCCCTATCTTTTTCTTAATTTAGGGACCTGTCTTATGTGATACGTCTATACAAGGAAGTATGATTAGCGGGTGGCATATTCCCTACGAATCCGGCGAACAACGTCCTTCCTACCTCCCTCCGAACACTTGGCTCTGTCTCCAACCGCCAAAGCCCTGACTATTTATTATATTTTAGTAGGAAGTACGGTCACATTTTCACTGTTCTACAGGTGACATGACCTTTATGCTACTTTGTCTTAAGTGGTACCTGCGAAGTACACAACTGGCCACACACTCGCATGTCGTTTTCTGCACATCCACTTTTTACGTTGAAGCTGACTGTTGTGGATTCCCTTTTGCAATTCTATGGTCAATTACGATTAGTGCATAGAAATACTGCTAGAGTTCTCTCAGGTCGAATGCGTTTGAACAGATTTAATCGGTTATTCACGTAGGTTCTAAATGGAATTTGAACTAGTCGCCCAGTGCCTCAGAAAAGTGGCCACCGTCGTGACTTACACTCGAAGCTTTGCGACCCAGCTGATTAATAGCGTGGACTAAACGTGTTATAACTTTCAAAATGGGTTCCTGTATTCTTACTGACAATCACTGTGGTGTGTTATCTGACTTCCCTAGTCGCGACAAATCCCCAGTTGATTGTTTGATCACGTGCGGTGGGAGTGGCTGATCTCAGGCGTGCCCGCATTTGTCCGAGCCCATGACCACCGCGAAACTGACTTGAGGCTTCGGTTTTATGGGAATTAAGACATGTTGCTCTGTTATCCAATTTTTCAAGGTTGCTTCAATGCCACTGTCATTCATGAGGCATGCCACTTGTCGAGCGCAAGACTGCACTCCGTTTTCGTGCAGACACCTACAGGTGAAGGGTCTTGGTCGATGGTGGGGCGTCCCACTAGCTTTCGAACCTAGACACGAAGCCATTTCTCATCTTACGGTTAAGGAGTGTTTAATACTGGAGCTTAGGTTTCAGAACATCGCCAGATTTTACTAAATCTTTTCACTTGTTATTGTGTAAACATTTCCTCTCCACTTTTGGAATTTTCATTGCAAAAATAACTAGTGATTCGAGGCTTTCTTTCCAGTAAATGTATGTATGGACAGGTGTTTAATTATGGGACGCACAGAGAGGCTGTGTTGAGTTGATGGAAAAAATAGGAGTCGTTTTGTGGTTGGAATTCAAGGAGTCAGTGTAGATTTGCGCTCGGTATTGGTACCTGCAGGCGCATTTGACGACGCTGGCAGACTCTTTGGGGATGAAGCAGATGTGTCATCTGCGGAGCTGTCTAATGAGGAACCAAAGGGACTGGACCAGCCCAATACGGGCTTCGTCTCTCGGGCACTTTCTGGCACTTTTTCACATTGGGTTACGGGTGGTGGGAAGTGCGAAATGCCTGCTGCCAGAACACCCACATTTTCCGGCGTCAGGGCCCCCTGGGGTCCAAGGAAAGATGGGATGCGTCGACTGCAGGAGTCCGTTCTCTCAATCTTGTCGACAAGGAGCGAACTCATTGTAGCAAGAAAGTTGTCTCGCAGTTGGGAAAGAGACGGCATCGGGGTGTGAGGCAACGATGGCCCCGTCTGTGCCTCGGTTATAGGGGCTAGTGGTTGTGGCTCACGAGGTGGTTTCATCCCCAGCAGTCGAGGAATTCTCGAGAGGAGCTGAGCTCCTGCTACGACCGGTTTGAACCAGGGTCCGCCGCGTTCCCACACAGGATCGGGGCACAGATAGAGCGGCTCGTCAGGTCCATGACACTCGGCTGGACGGAGGCGGGCGTAAAAGTTAAAAATGTCGACACAGTCAAATGGAAGTGTTTGACGTTTCGTGTTACCGCTGCTGTTGCTCTCTTGACCATCGAAAAGTCGAACCCCATGAGGGCCCCCGTGTCCATGGCAAAATCGAACCTCCTGGGGATTAGATCTTGCGGTGAACCGGAGAATTTCTTGGGAATTCACATTGGTGACGCACTGGAATTGCCCCCATGTCAAAGTGCGGTGCTTTTGCGTTCCTACCACATTGAACTGCGTCCGTACTATTAACCAGACACTGTTGAGCAGCGCCTATGAGAGATTCAGAGTGTAATATATAAATAGCATTACATTTTTCATGTTAGCGACAAATATCCGTCTAATTACAAATTTTACCTGTGGGTTTGTTGGCCCCAGAAGTCCGGTTTGTATGAGGGTGTCGAAGTTGACCAACTTACTACTGTCATGAGGGTCTGGGAACCCGAAGTCACACTTTCCTCCATCTGCCTGATGTCGGTGGACACTCGCGCTTCCGTTAGCCTGACTCAGTGCCCTCAGTTCGTTGAGTCTTTGAGTAAGAACCATTCTTGCCGGAGCAAACTCGGTATCCTTGAGTACAGAGTGTGGGTAGTTGTGATACTGAAAATAAAATGCATAAAGCGATTGCTGCTGCCTTGTGTGAGAAAATTTCACCGCGCGTAAGGATTCACAAACGCACGCCCACCACTCTAACCCTTATTGCGCTAAATGTCAAGGTAACCCCACTGCGGACGAACTGCCATGGTAACAAAATCTTGGGTTCGCAACATCATTCCTTTGGTGTGGTTTTCGCGTCAGTCTTTTTGCAGTTTTCTCTTCTTTTTCGCCACCGTCGGCCACACACATATCGGTCTCTGAATTGGCGCCAAACCCATACCTTCGCAGGACCGGCAAATCAAAACAGCTGCGGGACCACTCTGCCCCCTGTCTTGCGGCAGAGTTTGCTAACTTCTCGTTTGCTTTGTTACTTGGATGAATATTTCTCCATGGCTCTGTAGGATTACCAAAAATCTCATGTACGTGCGAATCCAATCCCAGGGCTAATAGTCGTCTCAATCGTTTCATCAATGGTGTTATCTTGAGTTGGTGTAGGATGCCTCAAACATCGATCTGTCACTTAAAGTCGATAAGTCGCACCTAAGAATAACATCATTACCCAACATCCAAAATTGGATTTTATTAACAGTACCCCATAAAAAGTTAATTGTCTTTTGGTTGACTTTATCTAACAAAACAATTGCGTTCGGAATATTCCAAATCCAACTCGAAATCAAGGATTTTTTGGTCTGCGAATTGGAAAAAGTTGGGAATTTAATCTGTTTGGTTCGGTGAATAGAAGTATGTTATGAAGAGCCATCCTTCCAACTTGTGTTCGTTATCCAAAAGTCACTAGACCTAAGGTCGTCCCGCTGACCCTTTTAAGTGAGGCATCCGTAGTTGACTACGCACGAGTCTCCAACTAAGTGTGCCCCTTGTTAGTGGAGGGGCGACCCCTTGTTAATAACGCAATTTTGGTCAGACTTCCAAAACCAGTATAAACATTCAACCCCCATCTACATTGAATGCATATACACTGACACACAGGTGGTCCTTAGACGGTTGTAATTTATGTAGGAGCTTCTTTTATAAGGGTGAGTGGGGTCGAGGGCAAACCCATATACACAGGCAATTTAAATAACGAAATTCGTATTTACCTTCAAGTGACGCTCGAGGGAATGGACAAACGCCTTCAGAGACTCAGGCTCATACTCGTGTCCGTCTTTCTTCTTGGCAGTAACGATGAAGTCCTAGAAAATTAAGTACATTTGCTCTCGTAAGAACTACTTAAAACTATGTTCTTCAATTGCAGTTGGGAAATACACGGTCGTGTAGTGGTAAAATAATCCAACTCACACTATAACCTAATCTCACAACTTTACCTGAATGTACTTGCATAAGTCCTGTGGTGGTATTTCATGGATTTCCCTGGTGTCATTTTTCACCTGCACGAGATACCTGTGAATGACTTTCATGTCGGACTTGGTCTTTCGCAGTGTGTTGTGCACAATTCCAGGCGCACCGGAGGCGGCGGGCTCGTCGCCCTGACGGGGTCTTCCGTCTGGAACTCCCTTCGCAGTGGTTCTGGGGGTCGACTGCGTGGACTGCTGGTCGGAAGAGCTGTGCGCGACATTCAGGAAGGGGATACGGGGAAACAGACCTGCCGGCGGCGGCGGCGGTGGTGGTGGTGGATAGAGGCTCGGGGATGTGTGGGGGTGTGCAGAGGTCGGAGAGAATCGGCTGTCGAGTGGTGGGAGGCGAGGAAAGAACGCTTGACTCTCTACTAACACATACAAAGAAAATAAACAGATGAAGGAATTCTTATCTGAGTAATTAGAAACGCAGAACTTGCAACAAAATGCTGTTAGTCACAAAGTCTGTGGCGTTTTTTCATCATTAATTCCGTGTGAATAAATTTCCGGATCAACGAAATCACACCACACAGATTGATATGCAAAATTTCCAATTATCTTTCTAAGTATGTTTAACTTCCATTTCACTTCCTCATCGTGTATTGACCTTCAATATCAATCGAAACTGAGTAACTGCGTACTTTCTCCAATGACGACAAAGCACGTTCTCCTAAAGTCTTTGTTGGAAAAACCTGCTTTCAGTAAAAAGTGTTTCGCCGTCTGTGATATTACTCACACTCTACGCTGATTGGTTATGCCCATGGTGCCAGCCATTCTCGAGGTGATAGTTAAAAGGAGCTTTTTGTTACCATATTTTATGTCCGTAAAGAACCAAGTTTGCCTTCTGCGGTACTAGCCGGAGTTTATAAATAATAATCTTACGTGGATATGACAGTACAAGTGATTAATGCGAGCCTATGAAATTCATGTACCTCTTGAATGCGCTCGTGCACAGATGGACTCTTTCGCACACTTTCGGTGAATCCGTTTGAAAAGAAAATGTGAATTCCTGAATATAACTAAGCTTAGTTTCCGAAGCATGGATGGCAGACAACTTCCCACGGTATAGTAAATAGCTTAAACAATCACGCGCTGAGACTAACACGTCTGCGCACGCCATTTTGTACTTAAAATACATGTTCACGTGTGGCAGATATCACGGGGAGGGAGATAGTTACAAAAGCGGATATTCTATCGAGTAAACACTCTCACGATTTCACGACACCCCCTCACTAAGCATTATTTCTTGATTCGGTGACAAATCTAGGTCAGTTCACCCGGGATCCGTGCTCTCACATTGAAATCCACTTCCCATAAATCTAGGCTGAGTTAAGTATCTTCTAATGGCTACTCAGTGTCCTAGATACGGCACACAGACTCGAGGTTGTTTGAACTGGTGTTAAGGTAAGGAAATGGCATCGGCATGAAATGCCCGGATCAGTCGAACCTCGACCTAATCCAGCCCTCTTTTGTCACTGAGAATACTCCATTCGCTAGTGGTATATAGCATGCGTCCAGAGCCCCAGGTTTATGCTGGTAAAACAATCACAAACAAGTTAGTGAAATCTGAAAGTCAGTTGAGCTTGAGTTTTAATAATAAGAGCTGCTCTTAACAACTGAATAATTTGACTACTCTGGCTTGACACATGTGGAGTTCGCAGACAAATCTAATCACATAGTATTTTTACACACACTAATAATACATTTTTTACAGTACGCAATAGCCTACCAATCCTGTCTTTCTGAAATGATATTGACTAGCCCCACCACTTTCGAGCATTCTTTTTTGGCTTGTGTTTTAAAGTGGCTCGTCAGAAATAGACTCACTACAAAAATTCCACAAATTACGTTGTCTTAGGCATATTAAGGTGGTTCAAAATGGGTCGCCCTCTAAGCCTACAAACATTTGAAGTTCTTCTGGATTTTATAAGTAGTAAGCTGATGGCGCCAACGTGGGGTGGACTGTGATAAAAGGAGAAAGTAAACCAGCTAATCCCCTTCACACACGCACATTCATTCTCCGATCGCTCCGTCGCCTTCCACTGCGATTTTGTTCACTTCTGCCTTACCTCCCACAGCGCCGCCACGCACCGACGAATAGTGTAACGCACTTGATTTATTTTGGCCCGAGTAGTTTACGCATTGGCGATAATTACACTATGTTTATAGGTAGACTGGGACAACCATCTATTAAATTTCATTTCACAGTTGTATTACACTTACGCACATCTATCTTTTTGTTAAGGTGGTCGCCTGAATGTTCGCAAGTGTAACAAAAATATAAGACTGCAGCGATCAAATGCGTACATTCATGCTGCAGAGTGCTTAAAATGGGGGCCGAACGGAGGTTATGAGCTAAACATAATTTCTCAAACGAAATGAACTGGCAGCTAAGACAACTGAAGTAAACGAAAGTAGAAGGAACTTAAATCATGGTCATCCTAAATCTCATGTTTTGCTCAAGAATAACCATAGTTACAAAATACATGGACTTATCTTGTGTTTTTATGTGTGTGATGGATGAATCAAAACAAACCACCCTGTATTTTCTTGTAGTTTGTGCTCTAAAGTGCCGGTTACATGTGATCAAACCACCTATGGCACATCAATCCAACGTACAGCCTTTTTCCTGTTATTACTGTGTTCTTTCCGGGATTAGTCTTGAAGGCTACGTAAATATTTCTATTAGCTAATCAACAAACGGTCATGTAATACGAACAGGAGTTAGTATATGCGAGAAGTTTTAGGCTGTTGTACACAGATTAGTACACTCCTCTGGTTTTTCACCGGTGCCCATGATCCCACTTTAATCGATTTCTTGTCGAAGCTGCATAAATCAAAATTTGTTTACTTAATCTTCCGGGTTTGTAATTCAGTAAAAAGTAAACACGATTCATTTTTTTAATTAATACGTAAATATTCGGACTACATGTCATTAATCCTTCCTATCACCTCGGCAACCATTTAGACACAGGCAAATTTGCAGTTCACCGCCATGAACTATTTCTAGAGGCTCTTCCCAATGTCCTGACGAATTGTCATGCAACTCTGACTTGCATTATATAATTTCAAATACGCACATCTCCGTGACTACATATATCTAGCTGTCAGAATGGCACGGTTCCTACAAATGGCATTGAGGACCACCTGTAATGGAACCAGAAGTTTGGAATGAATGAAGAAGCTTCCTTAAAGCAATTGCATTTCCTGATTTCTGACCGTAAACTATCACCAAAAATCTGTCAATTTTGTAACTGTTGGGTAGCTACTAATCAAACACAATTTTTTTACATTAAAATGAAAGTCTTTCTAGCACAATCACACTTGGGCACAATTTAAATGCACTTCTTATTCGGAGTGTTCCAAGTCTTAAATAAATTAACTTAGCCCGGCAAATGGCTACTGCAGATTCCAAATTTAACATCTGTTATTGTTGACTAGCCTTGGCATTATGTGCACAAGTTTTAAATTCAAGACTACATTACGTACACCATTGCATTCTAAAGTGAATGAAAGCCGGTCTCATTGGGGTTTACAACGCAAGGCTTCTAATTTGGTCCACGATTCGATCTTCTAGCCTCTACAATTGAATGTATCATTACCTGGAATTTTATCCATGCCGAAGTGCAAGTTGGAAGGAACCAGATCCTAAATATCTAACTTCGATATCGCATATTGCACTGCCAGGGCTATTAATTCCGGGACCACTTGGATGAACTACTTTTTGACTTTCGAAAGCTGTTATATTCACTAATGCATGCCCTTTGTTTGCAGACATTTGGTTCCCCATTTGAATTCCTAACACTACTAAATCCAGTAGTAATGCCGTTATAATGCCAAAGGAAAGGAACAGTGAAATAAATGGTGACTTTTTAGAGATCTGGCATTGACCGCTCCCAAATAAAGCCAATGCGCGCTTGTATCGGAAAGTGTTTTCTTCCAGCATGCGCCAATTACAAACTTCACGAAAGGGGCATTCTTTTGTGCTTACACAACACACTTGGAAACCACCCACACCGCAGCGAAAGATGGGAACTGGGCTGCTGAGATTGGATAAACATGGGGATGGTAACTGGGACTGCGAAGTTCGAATACGGCCACATAGTGCTTAAAATTGCAGACCTGATACGCATGTGTACAAGTATGTTGCATTTATTTAAATATGGAATTTACTTGAAGGATTATTCTGCTAAGTATCCCTAATTGTAAAAGTAGGACTACGTGACACAGGAAATCCACCGCAGTATTGACAGAAGCCTATCCACGAAAACCACCTGCTACCTTGTTCGCTTGCCAGGATGCTTCGAATGTAGTGTGTTCCTCTCGAAAGATATGGTAAATCATGAATGAATAAAAAGCAGTCAACATGCATCCTTGTCACTTATTCTCAGTCGTCCACTAAAGACTGCAAATCCTGACATGGTCGCAACAAGGTAGATAGAGTGAGGTGACTGTCAGCATGCTTTCACACCAACCCTACTTTTCGAACCTTTTCACTGGATTACTGGTCTACCAATGTTTACTATCTAAAATAACAAAAACAACTACCACCACCACCACCACCAGAAAACAAAATTCCTTCGATAGACCAAATTATATCCCTTACTCATCAAGCGGTTAATCCACCCGTGACATTTGTATTCTCGCCTACCCTGCACAAAATAATACCCTAACCTGGGTGGGCTTCCTGGCATTTTAGATATCATGGGATGCAGTGTTATCTCCCCTTCGCCCATAACCGCACCCGCCATTTACGCCCCGAGTGGAAAGGGGAGTGATGATGGAGGATAATAAAGGAGGGTGCACCGCCCTCCTACATCTGTCTCCTCGTGCCTTGTGCATCTACTTATGTGTGCCTATATGCCCACTGTGTGTGTGTGTGCGTATGTGCAGCAGGAGGTGGGAAAGCGCAGGCAGGGAGGACGTGGAGAGTGGACCCACCCAAGCGCGCTCCCGACGGCTTTAGCAGTCTCGGCAACGGAGGGCAGAGGTACGACCGTGGCGAAGTGTGCTTTCTTGTGTGCGTTCTCTTGCGTGCGTACGTGCGTGAGCGCAAGGGTGCACTGGTGCAACCAGGTCGACACGAACGTGCACGCATTCACGTTGCAGTGAGGTTATCGCTGGGTGGGATGCTTAACATCGTAACGCTGTGGGGTGGATTAATTGATGATGTCGTTGGATTTCAAAAAGCTGAATCAGTCACACTCCTGTGGTGTACGGATGGAAACTTAATGCATAAGAAGACATCAACTACCCCGAACTTTAAAATGTGCCAAGATAGAATATTCTTCATATGTGACTTCTTTGAACTGCCTGATTCGTTTCTGACACATTTACAAATATCTACAATCTGAACACCACTGGGCGCCTTAGATCCTAACCGGCTTTCCCTCTTACATTGTCCTTTAGCGCATCACATCCCCTGTCAACGCTGTGTCTCTTTTGAATGAAGGGAGGAATGAATTAGTCAAAATTGTTACTACATTGGTGTAAAAGTGACGTTCGCTTGCAAATTTTAATTTGAAGAAAAGAAAGCTCTGCATTAAGGGGTTCTTTTGCCAGTACTTCAGTTAATAATTATATAAATTAGTTAATTTGACATCCGAAATAACAATAATAATAATAAGCATCGAAATTTTAATACACACTACCTAAAGCACTTTTAATTATAAAAAAAGCAGACCTCACGTTCGCACTAACCCAATGACTTAGTTGTCCACCTTATCAAGGAAAGGCAATGTTGACATGCTGTGTTGTCACGACTAATCAGCAGTCCCCAGTTGGTCACAGCGTCTTATTTACAGGCACGCATAACGTTATTATAAGGTAAACATGGGGAAGGGATCTTTGTCTGGTCCAAAATATGACTCCTGTTGTATGCACAGGCTGGAAGCACTGTTAAATGTACCTTTGTGCGACATGCCAATCGTAGATCCTAACTCGTGGTAGCATATGCAACTTCCTCAGTCAAATGAATTTTGTGGGATTTTGTAAACAACCCCAACCAAGTTGCGATTATGCACGGTGGTTGAGGTCTACCAGGTTGATAAGGACGCAATGTGTTCACGAGCATATGCTATGCTGGGACGTCTGTGCAGAGTGAGCATTCACACTCTTTTGGACCTTGTACCTCCATCTCCAAAGCGGCAGCCACTTTTCTGTTTAAAGTAGTTTTCATTGCCACTAGTGATGCCTGTGGTAGAAATGACTTTATCGCACTAGAGAAGCTAAATTATTTGACCCTGGGTTCGAAAGCGGCACCTGCTGCCCACTCCCTTCGAGGTTGGCTGGACGGAGGCGGCTAACGGGAGGGTAAGCCCGGTGCCTGCGCGCATCGTGTGATTTACAGCCCTCGCGCAGCCCTCCCTCCCCTCTCCCACCGAAAAGAAGTTTACGCTGCGAACATACGCGAGGAGGGGGGCTGCTGATAAAAGACATTAAAGATAATTGAGCACTTTGCTGAGGTAACATTGCTTCCCACCACAGAGACTTATGGGTTAGCACATGCTCCCACACATTCGTTTCTCTGTTATTGTCCACACTAACTTCAAGAGGGATTTCCATAATAAACATTGAAGTCTTACCACTATGACCCTCCGTACGTGCCCTCTTGAACTCCGGTTCTGAAATTGATGTGCTGCAAGGGACAGTGTCACCGTTCTGTTCAATCACCGGCAGCGAAGGCAGATCGAAATTGAGGCCGAAGAGATTTTTCGATCCCAATGGGAAAGGAGACGGAGTGTTGTGCTGGGATTTGCTGTCCATCTGTCCGAAAGGGAAAGAGAACTGAGGCAGACGTTCGCTTGAGGTGTTCTGTCCCAGAGAATTGGATACCGCCAGTAAGCTTGGAAGATCCCATGCACCACCTGCGAGTTAAAAATGTGCCCTTTAATGAGTAACTAAATCTTAGCTAAGCCATTAAAGTCTAGTAAGGACATTCCCTGCCAGAAAATCTTCGTAAGTGCAATATGGATTAATGAAAGTGGAGTTGGTTTTTGGCAAGAAAACAGACCAGCGGAAATAAGGATTTGGGACACGCAATAAAAATTCAATCCAGAAAGCACTTCTACTTTAACGCTAAATAGACGACCTACGTGACATATGCTCGTGAAGGGACAAAATGGACGTAGATTGCATGCTAGCAGGACTGGGTGCTTTTCCTTTCATTCCCACAGCCATGGCAGCCAGTTGACCAATCATCAAAGGCATGGGGATCAGATGAACAAAGGCCAGGTGTTTCGCCCACTCCTCCATACTTCCCATCACCTCAACTCCACAAACATGACACTTTCTAAGGCCTTCAGCACCATTTCTTTGGTGTTCTAAGAAGGGGACCGTGGTGGAAGTTGTCGTGGTTGTGCTGAGATCTAGACATCCAGTATCATCCCTTTGTTTGGGGAGATCCAAAGGAAAATCACTAGATTTGTTAGGGGGTCTGAAGGACGGACTCAGACTCGAAGGTGTGGTATTTGTAGCCACAGAGGTAGGAGAAAGGGTACTTGGGGTATTCGATGCAGCCATGGAGGTAGGCCGAAGCATCTCCTGTGTTCTAATCAACTCCACCTACAATGAAAATAAAAAGATAACTTTTATAATTTGTGCAAAAGCCCAGAGAGGCCGTGATTTCTGCTTCAAGAAGGTATCTTTTCTAGATAACCAAATTATAAATATCGGCACAACGTGGGTACAACGGCTATCAACGTCCTGATCGGATCCACTTATTTTTTGTATTTCTCTTGTGTACGCACAAGCGTCCAAGTTGTCGTCGCAATTACTAACTGACGTGACCCAATTTTCAGGTCTCTAATTCCAAATGATAACCCTGCATATAAAATCTTTTATCGCATTTAGATTAACGCCGCGAAGTTAAATGCGTAGCACGCTGCTGTTGGTGAGGTTATTGCGTAAGTAACCGCATCAAACACCCTAATACAAACGACCTTCTCTAAATTGTAAGCAATTATATAATGAAGCAGCACTCGATCAAAAGTCTTATTTTTCAAAGTCGAGGTGGATTTGGGCTTCAGTTAATGGCGCCTCTGCTTTCTTTAGTTAGTGTGGGTGAAAAAACTCCCAGGGGTCTCATAAATCAGCAGTGACGTGCGGACGTGTCGGCATCTAAGGCTGGATAACGGTGGTAATTGCGAATGGCTATGCTTATTCAGTGGCTGGCCTCAAATGAAATTTCCAGTGCTTAGCATCGCGGAACACGCACCCACACCGTTTGCGGAATGATTAACTACCCAAAATCAGACAACCTATCTTACAAAGCCCCATTCTCGTGGATTTTCTGCCCGAAGAATTTGGCGGTGTGCGTGGGCGCCCAGTGCGCACCAGCACCCACACCAGCGAAGAAACCTGATAAATTCAATCGACGACCACACGCGGCATTGCGCGAGTGGTCATGAAGAAAAACCTCCGGGCAAACCATCAGGAGCTGTCTATTCGAACTTGCCCGCCTCGTTTACTAACTAAACCGAGGCTTAGACGCCACCTCCAATACTCTAAATTCAGACAAACCTACAAACAACATTTATCGTTCCGTGATAATATTTCCAACCCGAGTCAGCAGTGCCTGGAACCTACTAACAAGTGATTAACTTTCAATGAAACCTTCTTACGGCTGGGGTTCCGAAGACTTATGGAGGGTGGACCTACGAGCTTTGAGTATTATGAACTGGTGGTCACAAAAGTTATACAAGTGATTTCCCTTAAATAGTTTGTTGCTGATATCATTGTTCCTTTACTAGGCTGAAATAAGAAGCCATCCAGGTGTTTAGTAAATTAGGCTATGCCATTACCAAATGGATTAATGTTCAAGATGAGCATAAATTTGCTCTAGTTTACATTTTCCCGTCCTCTCGCCTAGCCTCGCCCCCCTCTCTCTCACCTGTCCTGCTTCTGTGTTTAATTAAATTGCATACTACAAAGGGGGGGGGGTGAAAAACAACTCAGAGAGCTGTTCTGGGAGGCATCGCGCATAAATACCGCCCTCTTTCGGGAAGATGACACGACTCCACCCACCACCTTCTCTTCCGCTATTCGAACACTGCGGGAAGTGGCGAGTTGGGGGGAGGGGCGCCATGACTGGTGACGGCGCCGTGAGGTGCAAAATTTTAATCAACTTAGAATTTCTGGCGCCAAGTCCCAAAAACTCCAGCTAGCAAGCAACGAAAGCGGACACAATATTATTCGGTGCCCCACGGTGACAGGAGAAGGGAGTGGGAGGGGGATAACGTGCCGTAAAAATGCTTAACTGTCTCCATTTCTTCACCACATCACACTCACTTTTGAAGACAAAATGCAGTATTTCTTCAAAAGATTTAAATATACATGATTGTATCCGCAAAATTAGCTTTAGATTTGACGAAAGCAGATCCTGAAGAAAAAGCCTGTTTAATGAATGCCCTTAACACCAATTTAAAGTGCTCGACACGGAGCTCTACGTGGCAATTCAACCACGATGAAGGAGACAAGCTACACATTAGAATGTACAGTAAGGACCAGTGCTTCATGAAGTGGCCTAACATAAAGATTCAAGTAGGCATTTGTTTATAGTGTGCGTCCAATCATCCTGAGGCCTTACTGATCATTGAGAAATGGATGTTTTCGTATCAATATCCATGGTTACGAATTCGCCCTATGGAAAATAAGCGTGGATTATTAAGTTCTAGCCGAAATAGCTCTCTTTCCCCTAAGTAAGTTGAAATGGCTTGTACTTCCACACTTTAGCCGACTTTTCGGAACCGCATGTCATGGTAGTCTTAATATGAATGACTTTGGTTGGCACATGATGCGGATCAGACGCGCAGACAGGGGATTCAGTGGCGTGTGCGGGGTGAGAGGAGGACGGGTAAGCCTGTCGGTTGGTGTCAGGAGGCGTTTAATCCCCTTCACGTCAACAAATGATGGATTGCGTCCCCCTTCGTCTCATTTCCCTTCCAGTCCCTCTTGCCATATTGCATAATCTGGTGGCAGAAAGTCACCACTGAAGTGGAGCGGGTGTTCACAGGCCTTTTCGAATTTCCCAAGTACGAGAGCTACCAAGTAATTTGGCCGAAGTCAGTGACTGTGCGGTCTCAGGCAATCTATTTGATTAGTTAACCCATGCAGAGAATATTTTAGTTGTGAGAACGCTGTCACAGTTAAATATGAATAAGTCTTCACAATTACTTTTAAAATTGACCTTGTGACATGGGATAAAAAGCGATGGAAACGTCAAAAACTGCTGAAAAACAAGGGTACAGCTAAATCAACCAGAGGCCACGGTGATGGAACAAAACGATGGTCCCACAAGAATTTAAGCTGTTAAAATTATTTTTGAAGAATATATAATCATTTGCATTTGTCTGAATTTACGCATGCTTTTCCTTGGATAAAATCAGTCGGCTTAAATTGTGAAGGACACACTTATATGGAAGTCCAGGTGGATGACAAAACCGTTTGTCACGTATAAGAGAATTTGTGGGAAAAGACCAACAGACTGAGATCTGAATAAGGACCACCATCTTGGGCTTATAGTACGTCACGGAACACTTGTAAGCTTCAACCTCCCCCTCCCATCCCGCTAAGTGAAATCTGACGACACTTCAGCCATATGTTCCCCCTTCAATCTGCTTGGGCGGTCTACGTGACGGAGGTGGGAGGGGAGGGGTGAGGGGGAAGCGGGAAGGAGAAGGAGAGTTATGTTCCCAGTGGAGTTCCCACAGGTGTAATATTGAGGTGTGTGTGTGTGTGTATGCGTGTGTATAGTGTTGAAGCTTTCCTCTTCTCATGTGAATGGTTTCTGGTCAGATTAAAGGGTTTCGATGTTACCTAAATTTTTCCTCCAGGTTTAGGGACAGGAGGCACTTTCACGGCATTATTTGAGTTTATTTGAAAATTCTGTTCTTGCAGCCACGCCTGCGACTTTTAATTAACTTATCCCCAATATCCTGCGACACCTGCGAAAACGGAAATTGGAATTCAGCGTGTGGCTAGTTTCATTAACTTTCGCGAGCTGACTTCCGGGAGCAGGTAACGTAAAGTTTCCACTACAGTGCCTGAACTGTTTCTATTGGTGTTTAAAGTGTGTGCTCTGAAATGTGCTTATATCGCATTGAAACTGGCATCTAGGGCTGTGATCCCACCACTGTATGACCATTCGTAAACATCTAACCCTCTTGTATTGATTTGGTGCAGGTCAACTGACGAAGGTAAGCCACTAATTATGTGTTTCCATCAATTTTGCTATCAGGTTTTAAAGCAAAGTTTGCCGTTTCTCTCATCTAAGAGGTATTTTACTTCTCCAACTCACATGAATGCTGGTTAAAATGAAGGCTCCAAATTAAATCCAAGTTCTTCTATTAAGAAAGAAACTTGCAGACTTCTAAACAAAAATGGTACCAAAAAGTCAAATAGATCAAGAGTCCTACCAAGGTTTAATGGTGGAAATCTATGTGGTAAATTTGCATCTCATCTTGGGATTTCAAAAAAATAACATTTTTTGCACTGGACTAAGAGGTTGAAAAAGGTGCTCAGACAAGTGCCTGGCATGTGGCCCATAGAGTTCACATTCGCTCTCCCTTGCGATCTTGTCAATGAGGCTTCAAAGTGCTTTCAAGCATTACCGCATTTGGCTTCATCGAACAAAGTGCCCTTAACGAGTCAAGCCACCTTCCTACGGGTCGGCAAGCGAGTTGAGTGGAAAGGCATGACATGCGTCAAAACGCAGGCAATGGTGCGTGGTGGGCCTCTCCCACCTCATGCAACTGTCTCCGCGTGGAATGAACATTTGAAAGAAAGCAGGTGGATGAGATGAGGTGCGTCGAAGACTGCGATACGGGTGTGGAATCTGGTGGTGGACGCTCGCCCGAGTGAGTTCAATGCTCGGCGCGCTTCAATGGCGTTGTGTGAGGATCACCTCTGTCAACTATCTAACACCACCACCACCAAAACCACTGACTGATTTTCATTGGGACTTTATGTTTAAGTCTCTGTTAAGATCGGAGCCCACTTCGATCGGTTTTTCTTCTTTCCACAAAGCCAAAATGAATATTGGAAATGAAGTGGGACGTGATCCCTGGGTGAGGCATGACGCGGAGTTCCAACGTGTTAAGAAGTCGATATTTCAAGAGCGGCAATGCTTTCTTTTAACAATAAACCAATTTTAATAGAGCAGATTTAAAAAAAGCAAGTCAGTCCATTCAGTAATTGTTATTTTATCATCATTTATGTTTTGACGTACTGACAGCACATATCGTGTACAAGCAGGTTTGCCTTCTTTTAAGCCTGGCCCTTTGAGTGAGTGTTTGTAACGCAAACGCACTTCGGTAATGAAAGCCAAGGTATTTCATCAACTTAAAACCTTCCTATTACGAACTCAAAGCGGGTAGATGTGAATGCTGTTTGAGCACCTCAAATGAGATCATAGCTTGTTGTTTTTAAGGGTTTTTTAACAGTTGGTCGGTTTACTAAGGTCACAGAACGGAAACAAATACCTGAAAGCATGACTTAATAATAGGGCTCGCCTTGCATAATCAGCCAAAGCCTAGCATATCGTTAAACAGTGACTAAGCTCTAGGAAAAATAGCTTCTAAATGACAATGACACGTGGTTATCAACCGACTATGCCACCTCAAGGATCGCACAATCCTTCTCTGCAGAGCGAAGACTTGTCTTCGAGAAATCTGTTAAAGTTGGCCCACTTCGGAGTACCTGCAGATGTTGATGTCCGGTCAGTGCTTGTAATTGCCAAATGCAATAAATTCTTAAACCTTTACTAGACTAACTTGCACTCAGACCTCTCATGTGCTCTAAAATTCCCTAATGTAACTGTTTCTTGAATGTTAAGCCAGTCTTGTATTCTTGAGCGTAGATCGTGTGCGCTACTTGCAATTAAACGAAATCACGAAGCATACGGGTTGAATAATAAAAAAATTGAGCAAGTTCGTCCTTTAGTGTGCATGAGGTTAAGAAAACGATAAATCGTGCCGACGCTCTCGAGCTATCACCCGCACGATTAGGGGTCGGCGAAGGTTAAGACGTTCATAAAAATGAATTCAACTTTGACGGGTATGGCGCACGTACCACGCAATTTTCTTAATATTCACTTGCCGGGGATATTAAAACGGGGTAGCGCTCTACATGCGCCAATTTCCACAGAATATTCAAAGGTGCAGACACCGACTTTCCTTGCCTTTTCGCACACCACACCACTCTGCTCTGCCTTTGAAAGATCTACTTAGACCCGCCACCTGTCTCGACATCAGCTTTATGTAATAGCTTCTCATCTGATTAGTCCATTGTGTTGGTGAGGATCAGTTCACGGGGACCAATCTTATTTGAAAATGGGTTCACTACGCCCAACTATCAGTTGCCTTGTGACGAACCCATGTTCGAATGGACCCTCTTTAAATAGAAAATTCCATTTTATACGTGAACCGAGAGAGAATGAAACAGTTAACCAGATTCATACTCTACTGTGGATGTGTTGCTTTTGCGCTAGTGGTTATCTTTTGTAAATGCCAACACAATTTATGTCCCGTAAAACTGGACCTCTTCACAAATTAATCATGCTACCCTAAACTACTGACCGAGGATGGACATTAGGTGCTTGTGAAGCAGTCGTCCTCATAGCATACGGTGATGTTTGCTTTAAGTAACCCGGCGATGTGCAGCAAATGTTGACTAAAGCTTTCAACAAATATTTACTTGTTCTTTCCTACCTGCACACACAAGATCATTTATCCGGTAGTGGTTCTACTAGTGCTTCGTATTTACAGAAGACTGAAGAATCTTCTCAAGTCGGCTGTCCAGGGGCTTTAGAGACAACAAATCAAAGATTTGTGACTCTAGTAAGTTAAGACTATACCCACTAGCACCGAGGACTGACGGCTCATGTCATGCTTCGCAAATCATTTTACTAAAGGACTACTTGGCACTGGAGGAGGCACCAAGGCACGGCGCTTGAAGTGGGTCACGTTGGTAGTCTATTCGGTCATCTGGACGGGGTGTGACTCAACTAACGTGTGCTGATGAGCCCCATCGCACGACTAACCGCAGAGCGTGAATTGAGAGCCAACAGGGAATGCTCATCGTTGCAGATGTTTAGGATTAGTGGAGTTGTGGGAATTCGTGGGTGCTACTACCTATTCATCTCCCAGTATTGACACATCAGTAAATTGTACTTCCTTGCCTTTGCCAAAGTCGTTGGTTTTGGCTAGTCCACTCGAATTTGGATTAAGACGAGATGAAAATTTACTGTTTATCTTGACGTTGGCATGACCTCAACTCAACTTCACATGCGTACCACGACACACAGGCTGTTTACGAATCCAGTACCGGTCATGAATAACGCACACACACAAACACCCACACACACATACACACATACGATCGAAAGATAATAAAAGTGGCCCCGAAGAACGACCCACACTCTGTTTACGCAGTAAAAACTGGCCCCAGGTACCGATTTGGATTAAACTATTCAGTTATCGGATCAAGTTACATCTATAGAATATTTGATAAATGTAAAAAAAATAAACAGTCGTCATTTAGAAAGAAAATTCACAAAACTTGCGTTAAAAATCGACTCATCAGCATTTCGAAATAAACCTTTTTTGGGTTATGGAAACGTGCGAATTTATTAGAATTTGTACCAGTCTCGGATCGCTTTACTTTGAAGGGAGCACAGATACTGTAGGTCTCTTGGTGACCTTGGTTACGGGTTAATAAGACCCCATCGATTGGTTTCCTCTAATCTTAGTCAACACCTCTACATGTTTTAGACCAGACAGATTTTGCCGCGTTCCACAACCTGATGAAGGATACCCACCATCTCTGCATCCTGATAATCGATACGAATAGACGTGTCAGGTGAAATTGAGTGAGTTATTTACGTATTAAAGAAACAGCTCGCGCTACTACCAGCACGAAGCTACATTTCCAGTTATAAACAATACTGGAGATGTTTTTCGATCAAGGAGCCACAGAACTTGATGCTATTAGTCCAAACATATCAAGTCATATTTCCTTGACATGAGAGGTTCAACTTAAGAGTCCCAATGGAAGGTGTGATTTTGCCCACAGCGTTTATAAATAGTTTCCACTCATATTTTGAGTTCCGTTAAGTAGCACAACTAATCACTAAAATTCTTGCTAAAACAAACACTGGATCGATGCGACCGAAACGTCTAAAGCGCTGGTTTCTACTTAAGCTGAGACCCTGTGCATTCGATAGTTGGGCGCGAATAGTTTTACATCACTGCGTAATTTCTTTCGGAGAATGCAAGCATGCCGCCTTATCCGAATACCATTCATGCACTTAAGTGGGTATATTTAAAATATGTGCGATGCTGTCCGTTCATTTTATAAGGGAATTTGTGGTATTTTTAAGTAATATTACACGTTGCCCACTTCCGAAATCACCCAGTACACTTTAGACAGTTTCGTTTTTTCACATTTTAAATTGCCCTTTCTTAAGCGGATCCGTCGGCAAATCCACATGAACCTATATGGTGAAACCCCCATTAAACATTCAACAAAGAATTCTGGAGTTCTCTGACATGTAACCAAATCAAAATTTGTTCAATGTAACAGGTTGGTGAAAGTATATTAATTTTTCCCTTAGTACGATGTAAAAACGGGTCTATTAAAACAAATGAAGTATCGTAAATATGCTAGGGAGACCGATGAATTCTGAAAGACCGCATACTTTTCGGCAATGCTGTCGTCAAATTTACTTAACTCCCACTATTGGCCCTCGCGTTGTTTGTCGCCTGAATCACTATTTAATCATTACTAGTAAAACAGTCGCCCAAAGATGCCTTTTTAGGAAAGGTAAGTGAAACTAATCAAGTCATCTAAGTCCTTTCATCTGTTTAAAGGAGGGCTATACAATTAGTTTTCCGCATATATTCGAAAGGTAATCGTAAGTCTTTGTCTGCCAAACATAATTTTAATGTTTAACTGGGGAGTAATTTATAAAAAAAGCACTCCATTTAAGGAAATAAACACTTACCCGAGCTCCTTTGTGAAAAAGATCGATGTGTTCATCCATTATGTCCTGTGAAGTCGAGCAAGCGAAGCAAGCGGAACACGTGTGCAGAGAATAGCGGTGATCCCCGTTAGTAGCTTGACTACATGGAAGGTGGCTGTCAAAGCGCGTCTTGTTAATTGACTCAAGACCACAGTGGGAACAGCGTAGAAAGTGAACAAAGCGCTCCACCCCTTTTGGTGGCGACGCTCCATCCTCTTCTCCCTGCACTGATGGATTTTTCAGAAAAGTCGGCCTATCAACCACCTCAGAGATCGGCTTTCCATCAATTGAAATTACTTGAGATAACGCCAACTTGCAAATTGATTGAAAGTCATTTTGATTCATTTTCGCTAGATCGGGTGTCCACTGAGACACCAGGGGCACTGTGGACATGTCAACGTTTGAGTAAATGAGAGGTGAGAAGGGATTAAGCTACCTTTCTATAAAACGCATACACATAAAACAAGTGGCACATGCGTGCGTATGTCTGTGCGTACACTCCAGGGGTTAGTTGATTGGCTGAAATGGTGCGTGCATCAAATCAAAACGCGATAAATGAAAGCCAATAAGAATTAGCAATTTTCATCACAAGGGAGAAGAGGAGTGCTGTCACGCGCGTAAGAGGATATGAGACTGGTTTTGAAGTGTTATCTTCACAAGCGCGCTTGATCTCTGGTTGGCAGATTTCTGCGTGATGTGCGCGCGTCGCGCAAGATGAATATAATATCTGCGTGATATCCTAGTACGCGCTTCGCAGATGTCTGGAAAATGATTGGTTACTATTAGCGTAAACCTCCATTATACAAATAAATAACGTACAATTAATGCTCTCCCCTGTACCCTCTACGCATTGTTTTCATCTCCTCATTGCATTTCTAGTGTTCACCTTTGGCTTGTCCATGGAAGAGTGTCAGTGGATACTGACGAATTACTAATTATAATCCTTGTACAAACACTACAGTGAGAAAAAAACTGGCCTTTTTTCATCATGAATTAATGTAGTACAAGAACGGCTATTTAACATGTTGAAGCCCCACATTAAGACAAGTATAGAACAGAGAGAGGGGGGGAGAGAGGCGTTATCTAACAGGAAACCGCCAGTCATGACCAATTAATTATTAGGGGTACTCAAGGTAGAGGAAGGTTCTGATTTCAGTGGTCGTGGATGGCCTCATATGGGCAGTTGCTCTATAAACAACTACCCGTGGTGTAATTCACACTTGATGTGCATTGTGATGATTGATCACTTCAAACCAGGGCTAACACTTGTCGTCGACTGCACATGCGCTGGGACCCAAAACTTGTTTGCCTCACCAGCGTCGGCTATTGGTCCTATTTTCATACGAAGTACATTTATCCGCCACTGCACTTTTGCATGCTCATTTTTACTTCTACAGTCTAACTTTTCGCTTACTATTTGCCTTGTTCAGGCAGCAAACAGGAATATTGCAGTAAGTGCATCCAAGCATACCAGAATGGCAATGCCACTCTAGCTTGTAAATATATACGACTATGCTCTACACTGGCTACTCTTACAAGCATTGGAGCTGCAATCAATATTTGTGTAATTTTGCAGACAATGACTATGTTGAAATTAATAAGAAGACAAATATTTCAATTTTTTCCGAACATAACTAAATTTATAAGCGATTATGATATGAAGAGCGTCTTAACCAGTGCACATTGGTCCTTACGAGAAGGTTGGTTGAAGTAATGTCGTAAATTTGGTCCAAATAAAATGAATGACAATTATTAGAGAAAGCATCGGACGGTTTCACTATGGCACTGAACAGAATGCAAGTGCCAGGATTGTTGTCAGTCTAAGTCAGTAAAGTCCTCAAAAACAGCGAACCTCTGGGACCAGATTTTTGTGGTTTTCACACGATTTAAATTCTCCCATCCACCTACCCAAGCACAAACCCGCACGCGTACCTGCATGGACAAGTTGTGCGTTCTCGATACACAAAAGCCATGCCTTACACTTAGCGCTTTATTTTCACCCAACTGAGTGGCCTGCCTAATCCCTCTCGTGCGCACGTCCCGCCGCCAGACGTGTATTTGCGTGTGGCTAGTATTGGGGTCAACCCATCTGCTATGGTGTTGGCGGGATTGGGGGGGCGGTTGGAGTGGGGGAGGGACTATGGGGTGGGTCTGTAAAATCAGAGCCCGGAATGCTGTGATTTTGTTTTTTTTTGGTGGATACTAACACGGGAGTTCAATATTCTACTTTAGGCAGGTAATATAGCGTCCATCATTTTGAACACAAAGAATAGGGGAGGATGACAACGGCTGTTACACAATAGATATGAAGGACAGGACTGACCTCTGTCATAAAACCGATGGTAAAGCCCATGAAGTAGTCTCTAATTTTTTCTCAAAAGACGCGCGCCCACCTATTACGCTGGTCAGTCATTATCCACAATCTCCAGGGTAGGTTTTAGATTAAACTGGTGTCAGAAAGTCTGATCTTGCTGGTCAGCTGGTAGACCTAAGCTTAGCCGTAATACTTTATCCTGGCCGCCTTGTTGCAATGTTATTGGTAAGTGCATGACCGACTTGACAGAGTACATTCTTCGGACAGCGTGTACTTCGAGATCCACATGGAAGCCAACGAAGTCTTATCGTAGTGCAGCGATAGCGTCGTTATTTCTAAGGGTCGCAAATGAATGCTCAACTTGGAGTTTATTAGCAGATAACTCAACTTCATAAGTATTTGAAGCTTTTATTAAAGTGTATTGCTGCCCAATGTTTGGCAGTTCATTTGATTAGCAAAATTGGCTTGAGTTCAACATAAAACATCAAATTACGTGTCAATTAATTATGGCATCAGTTAAATTCCACACACTCAGGGGGCTATGAAACTGCATTGACAGGAAAATCTCGCTAGTTCCATAATTTAGACTCATTTCAACTTGCTATGGGTTTCTTACCAAGAGATCCTTCCACGAAAACGGAAAAATTTGACTAAATTGGAATGGTAGTAACTTGCCCAACCAACGTGAAAGTTCCTTGTCTACACTTCACACACCCAAAAGGTTTTTTTTTGTTGGTATGCGATGTGCTTTGAACTAAAGTACTTATGCACGTGAACGTCACTTTTGAAATGCCATTTCATTGCATTTGAGTCAGACAGTGCTTTCGTGGTCGCAAGTAGGATTGGCGCTAAGGCACATGAATTGACATTGTCAATTGAAATCAGGAAAATTAAGTGATACTACCTTCGATGGTCAACAGTTGCTCACAGTTCCCATATGCGTTATATCAGAGTCCTTAAGCCTATTTTTTAAAAAGCAGTAGTTAGATGAACCGAAATGAACAGCACTTGCCTTGACACTACAAGCCGAGATCACAGCTAATCCTGAAGCAAGCAGCCTCGGCATGTAGTTTGCATAGAAGGACTCCAATAACTGTAGGCTCCCACAGAACCTAATCAATCTGAATTTTCAAATCGCTGATTTCGACAAATTCTAATCTGATCGCTCACAGACATGTGTCGCTGGAGCATCACGCAAAAAGAGGCACAAAATTACCGACCCCCTCGCTAAAATACTCGGTCAGATGTCTCAGAAATGATTTGCACCCAACTTGAGGAACGCTGGGGGAAGAGATGGGATTTGAGGTAACATCGGTTTCCTTTTTAGTGGATTTTGCAGACAGTGGAAGAGGATTTATGGCGAACTCATTCGTTTGATAGTTTACTATAAGATGATGTGGATGTGATAGCAACACGAAGTTAATTTTTTTACTTCGATTTGATATAAAACAAGCATCAATAGTGTTGAGTGATTTTCAGGCTCTTTACAGCACAGCTTAACTCAGGGCATGCCCCGTTTCTGCGTTTACATTAGATCAAATTGATGAAACAATTGGTAAATTTAACGAGATGTAGTAAGCACTTTGAAATAAATTAATATAGTAACAAAAGCAAACGGTACTTTTCAATATGTTTCATTGCCTACACCGCTTAGTGATGTAGAGGAGCCCCGTTTGCTTTACAAGCGGAACTTTGAAAAACTAGTCTCGGTCAAAAGAATGTCCGGTTTAGACAAAAGAGAAGGGCTGTGTTGACTCTCAAATTCGGTTTGCTAATACGGAGAAGAGTTGGTGTATAATCATCAGAGCAGACATTGGTAGCTTCTTTTACCTAAATGTAGTCACAATGAGCAAGTCTCGGCTTAGGGCTTATTATATGAAATCACAGCACGATAGAAACCTCAAGTCTGGTTTGTCAACTGGTTTTTTCCACAAATTACTCTGCTCTGGGGACACAACAGGCACTACCTGAACGAGCCCGGCCACTCGCCACCGATGCCGCCGCAGCTGCGGTCTCATGGCTACGCCTTGCCGTTATGCTGCGATTATCGGATGGACTTTGTTCGTTTATAAGTGTTTGTTAACTATTATTATGCAGACTGCATGTAAACTACAGAGTTCGCTTCACCTTTGATACTCGCGCCGAGAAGGCGTTACGGCTTGTTAGTAAACACTGACAGTTGCAAATTAATCGGAAGAATTTTTGTGGGATGGGGGGCTGGTTTTGTTAACCACAACACCGAGGATAAACTTAGGTTTAACCATGGAGAGGTTCACGTCTGCCTCCACCCTACACATTCTTCGTCGTGGAATTTACGTTTCAAACAAGATATAAAAATATTGGCTTCAACTGTATTGGCACGTGAGGTTTACTTCACTGGCCGAATCTTCATTCGAGAAAAAACACTAGAACATGAACAAAATGAATGTTGATGTGCAAAAACTGACGCCTTTGTGTTAGGCTTTTAAAATAATATCGTGGCGTTGGCAGTTTGACGCTTCCAGTACGACATGTACACACATTGTGCTTAACCAGTGAAAAATCGTGACACGATGTCAAATGCCTGTCATGTTAACCGCTGTGGCGTTTAATCACCAAACGCTCCAAAATTAACGCGAGGCGCGAGAAAGGTAATTTATATTGTGGCAGTTAATATAAAAGGACCTTGTTTTGAAACAAAAATATTGTGATTCTATCCATTACTAGCTATTTAAAGCAGATTTTGATCAAATTATAATTGCCCGGGAAACTATGGTTAAAAAATTCCTAAACACCCTTCGTCAAAATAAACCAGAAATCCGGCATTTACTGGTAGTCTGAACAATTATGGACAAAGCCAATTTGAGCTGAAGTCTTCCTCGTCAGTGCCCAACCAAGTCTGGTTACCTTAAACCTCCACACAATCCACGTTCGGGTGAAGAAATATTTGCCCCACGAACTTTCCTACTGATGAAGTCGCCCTAATTAACTGGACACAATCAGCTCTAATTTACGAATAGCAAATTCATTCCTAAGCAATCCTGATTGCATTCTTATCATACAGCATATATTTGAAGCAACTTAAAGCGGCAATAATAGG